CAGTAATGCATGTTTATTGAGAGGGGCATAACACTTGAAGTATTTTTAGGAATTAGAAATACGGAAAATGCAATCACAGAAGAATGTTACAATCAAATTGAGATAAATATGCTAAAAAGAAAATCTTCCCGAAACCTCTTGGCTGTGTTGTATGGCCATTACTTCAGAAAAAGATTGTAATTATTGAAAAAGGGATGACTTTTTTTTTTTTTAAAGACTCATTTCTACATTTTGCAGGAGAACTGGAAAACCTCTTGGTTCTGCCATAAAAACTTGAATAATTCTTTGACTTTCACTAGGTTGATTTTTGTCTGATGAAAATCCACAGAGAAAGGAGAACTTGCATTTCCACACACTTCTAGTTCCTGGCTTACATAGCTCTTTGAGGACCACAGAACTTTCTAACTTCTTGGTTTAGGGGAAATGTTAGCAGTGAATGTAAATTCTAAGTGAAATTAATCTCAACCCCAGGTGGAAATAGTGTAGGCAGACATGCTGCAGCTCAGGCTTCCAATGCATCTGTTAAGTGGGATTCCAGATACTTCATTCAGGGCCAGTCCTAAAGATTGACTGCCAGTTTTTAAAACTATGTAGACAAAACTCAGAACCAAATGGAAAAGATGGATTAGGTCATCCTCTCCATTTCCATGCCAGGTGTGTTTGTCTCTCAGCAGTGCCTTGTCAGGTCATTTTAAGGCCACGCCATTACTGGAAAGGCATACATGTATTTTCCTCAATAGATAAACTGAACTGCTAGTGGTCTTAAGAGGTCTGTATGAAAACTATTTAAAGCTCTCCCAAAAGGAGATGATACATAAAGTTTGAATCCAGAAGGGTAAGAACTTCTGCTGAATTACACTTTTGAAAGTAAAGTGATCTTTCTGTTGCAGTAGGGGACTCTCCCTTTCCTGTTAAGAAAACAACTGCTGAATGTTAAAACACACCTAGATTGCAGTGAGTCATACTGTGGACTTTGTAATGACTGATTATACTTGAAGTAGTTGACAAGTCTTTGTAACAATTTACTAGGCGATTAAAACAGGCAGTCACTTGTGAGTAGAAGCCCTATTGAAAGGTCTGATCCTGCACCGATCGTCTGTGCTGTCAAACACCTTGGAACTTTTAATGTGTTTGAATTCACATTTAACAGTTATATTAAGGGAATATATTGCTGTGAGCTGCCTCACCAACTTCTTAGCTTTACTTCTTGACTGCAATGAAGTTGGAAACCATTTCCCTACATGCTACTTGTAGGTGATTTTCCGGACCTTCAGAAATACTTGAGACTGAAGAATTTTTCCAGGTATTTTGAACGCTGCATCTGTGGCTGAATGTATGTGGTGTCACACACTGCATATTGTGCCTGTTAGATGCAAGCTGCTTATCTTCTAGATGGGACTGTGATGCTGAATCTGTGTGAGTTAACCTGCTAAATAAGAAAGTGTTGACATATATTCAGTGCATCTGCATTATTCTTAAGGATTCTTGTCACAAAATGGGTTTATTTTGAAACAGTTTCTTCACTTAAATGTGACCATTTGGTTCTGTGGGATTTGGCCAGTAAGTGTATGCTGTTCTAGGCAAGTACAATGTTAAGTAATCAGAGCTACTTGCTATCACCCATGTAATGTCTGTTCTGGTGCTAACTTCAGTGTTCCGTAGAACAACCGCAGAAAGCATGCGCGTGCTCACACACACACACACAAACCCCAACAAAACCCCGACAGCACTTAAAAGTTCAAAATAGGGAACATACAATGTCCTCTCGGGAAGGGAGGGACCACCTAGGAAATGGCAATAAAATTCAGTCTTAGTCTGTGTAAAACCTGTGAAAACCAGTACCCTACAGAGTAGTAGCACCTCCTCTGCTGAGAGGTCTGAGGAGAGCTTGGCCAGCAGAGTTTCTGAGCAGCTGATTTGAAGTTCTGGCTGATGTGGTTTTATTTTAGCTCCCCCATATCGTTGAACTTTTTCCATCATTGGATGAGGAGTAATTATTTTTTTTTTCTTATACTGTGTGCATTGATATTGGTTAGTTCTTGTATCAGGAAAGATTAATACTATTACATTTTTTCTCTGTGGATGCTTTTTGTGCTATATGGGTTAAAGCCCAGCAGAGGACTTCGTCTTAAATTACTAAAACCTGCAAATACAAATTACTTCCCACAGACTGTTACGGAGTTTGCTTTCGGAGAATAGCATTTAAAATCATATGCCTGAGCGATGGAAGATGGTGTTGGAATAAGGTGTTTTCAACAAATTAAAGTAAGATATATATGGACATTAAGCTCAAGAATATTGCTGAAACAATATTCTTGAAACAGGCTGACTTGGAAAATCAAACTTTATATAGACTTTAGTCACAAAACTGTGGCAGCAAGTTCTACCATCAGCACACTCCTCCTTGCTAAAGATCAGGCAGCAGCTTAACCAGTTTATATTTTGGAGGGAATTTCTGCTAATGGTGGTTGCTTTTACACTGAGGTTTTTTCCTTCTGGTGGAGCAAAAGTATCACTGTACTGTTGGTGAGAAATGCATATGGCAATGTAGATCAGTCTTTTAATAGAATAACATTAAATAACGTGATGCTGGTGATGTGATCCAAACATGTCATAGGTGTTGACATCTGACTGATGGTTGCATTGTAAATATTTTGAGTTACTTTAGTTTAACGCATTGGGAACTTCTGACTGTACTCAGGCACATGGTATATTTAGCTTGCTTTGAAAATTGACCTTAAACTACTTGTGATCAGTAGATAATCTCTGGGCTGACCTGCTTCATGTGCCTCCTTGATCTAGAGCAGATAAGTGTGAAGAATATTTCTGTTAGCTAATGATATTGCAATATACACAGAAACTTGTATATTTGCTTTTCTTATTGAAGTCCAATTCTAAATGGCACAAGTGCTGAAGGTAGCTCAAAGGTCAGTTTGGTATGCAGTATGTTTTCTGTACTTCATCTTTGCTGTGAAGGTTCTTTGTAGCTGAACACGTGGGAAGAGAGAACAGCACAGATCAGATATTGGTGGTATTTCTCTGCCACTTGAACCTACCGCATAGTTAAATTGTCCAGAAAGTATTTGGTGTACACTGGTTGAACTTGACGTCTCAATCAGGCTTGCCTTTTAAAATAGACTGAGATGGGGGGAGGTTGTTGGGACTTTCTGTTTTGATGTCAGCTTTTAAAAGAAGGGGTTGTCTTGAAAACAGGTAACAGAATGCTTACAAGGAGTGGGACTGGTCCATGAATTGCAGGGGATGTGTAAGGAGAGGCTGGCTGGAAGCATACACAACAAATAATTATGAAGGGGCTGTGTCTTCAGGGAGCTTCTTTGTATCAGGCACTTCAAGGAAGATATGGCTAGCATACTCCTTCAGGGCTTGCTTTTCATAAAGCTGAAATAATGGGGAAGGGATGAGAGCAGATGAATTAAACTTAGTATTTCTGGCTCAGGTTAATTGCAGTACACTGATACTACAACCGCATGTTCAGCCCTTGTTCCTGCTTAAGCAGAGGGGAAAAGAGACTAAGAAAGGACAGTTACTCAGTTGGGAAGGAGCAAAGTAGAACTGGAGAAGGATCCAAAAAGGTAATCGAAATGTAACTTTCTCTTGGCATGTAAAGCAGTAAGTCTGCTAATGGAGAGAAAAATAAAAAATAGGCATTCCAGCTTTAAAGGGGGAAGAAGTGAATTGCTGCTAGCTCCCAGCCCGCTCCCCATGGCTCCTTCAGGCACCTGCGCATCTCTTCCAGGGACTGGTAGCCCTTTGTTGCTGCCACCTCTTTAACAGATAAATAAATAAGCCTGCCTTCTGTCTTAATGCAGCTGCACCAGAGCAGGAAGGGTCTGGCTTGATCTGCATTTGATTCCTAGTGTTTGATTACTGCTCGTGGTTCTGAGAGTCACCCACCAGCAGCTCAGACATCATGTGTGGCTTCTCATGGCAGTGTCTCAGGCATGTTTGACATCGCGGGGCGAGTAACTGCTGGTTGTACAGGTATTGGTTTAGCCTGGTTTAGTGATAAGAACAGTCACAGTTCTTGATGATGGTGGCAACTGTATTTTGATATATAACTTTTTTTCTTACCACCCCTACCCCCCCAAAAAAAAGAAAAGGGGTGGCCATGTTTGCTGTATGTGAACATGAATGGCAGTCTGCTGTATTGGCTGACTTCACAAATTGTACCTGTGACAGTGCCTGTCTCTCTTCAGGTAAAATATAATAAATCTTAAGTTTGGCTGAGCTCTGCTTCATTGCTTAGGCTGGCTGTATGCATTTTACCTACTTTCAGTTGCTGTTTAAAGTGAGGGTTCCTTGGCTGGTTGATGTCTGATGGAAAGGTAGAAAAGCCCAAGTGGGGAAAGACAGAGAACAGACGTAGGAAATGTTGAGTTTTCGTGACTACTAATGACTCACAACAGTTTAAAGTAAATCATTCAGTAAATCATTGTGCTGCCTGCTGTTGCTGCCTCACCAACATTTTGTCCATTAGAGGGAGGGTAAGGTGCCTTCCAGGAAATTACAATGATATGCTGACATGAATGGCTTACTAAGTATACCAAATACATTATTGATTTGAAAGATAACATCTAGATGGATAAATGAATAGTTTTACTCAAAGTCTGTTTGTATTCTGTTCTATGTGAGTCATAAATGAGGTATTTTTTTAATAGTCCTAAATGGAACCAAAACCAGATACATAAAGTCCAGCATGAATGTGTTTCACCTTGGCTGATGGAAGCATAGATCTCTCCCTCACCATGTGCTCTGGTAAGGATTAGGAGGCCCCTGAGACACAGGAGTGGGAGCTGCTGACAGGGCAGCTCAGCTTCTTCAGCTGAGGAGTGCCTAGGAAACAAAGCAGTGTTTGCAACCCACTCTTTGCTGTCTGTAAAGCTACAATTCACTCCCAGCATCCACTTGTTTCCCTAAGTTTCTCAGAAATCTACACAGAACCGCTGGATTTCAAGCCTGCAGAGTGGAGGCAGCACTTTGAAGATGCACTTACACAGAGGATGCAGCACCATGTTCCTGCAGTAGTGTTGAGGCCTTGGCAAAATCATTTGTGCTTCTGGAAGAAGTGTGTGGCCTACCCCATCTGACAAAAAAAAAAAAAAAGAAAAAAAAAAGTGGGTCTTAATGCTCTAGGGAATAATGTAGGAATAATGTAGGTTTGAGGCTCAGCTTAAATTGGACACGCTAAAGCTCTCCTGTAAGCATTTAGTATACACTAGATTCCAGGGTCTTAGTATGTTTAAGTCATAACCACATCAGTTACACATGGGACTTTACTGCTAAAGCTACCTCCAAAGACTGAATTTTATACAGTAATACTGTTTGTGTGCTAAGTTTACAATAAATCTTTAGGTTTTGGAAGGCATAAATGAAAAATGCTTGTTCGTTCCCTTGTTGATGTAGTTGTAACATCTTGAAAAGCTCTATTTTGGCATTTAAAAGAAAAAACAGTGATACAGTTTTGTCAAATACCTGGTTTTAAATCCCATACAACGTATCTTTCTTGGTTGTCTGGTCAGTGCTCCTTAGCTTGTGTGGCATAGTTTTTCACATTGAATGTGAGCACACGCATAAATCACATCTCTGCTGTTTAATGCAGTCTTATGCCTTATGATGGCCTTTAGAAGCTGACAGTTACTCTTTGGTTGTGACTGATTTAAAGAACCTTTTCTAATGTAGGTGTACTACATGTTGACTTTCATCATTCAGGGCAATTTCTTGTAAAATCAAGTATCTCTGTTAAAATTGAGGTTCCTGCATTGCTCTCTCTGAGACTTTGAAACTGGTTTGGGTAGCGTTGTCCTTTTGTGGCTGCTGTTGACATCTGTCATAGGAGAAAAGCATCCGAAAAACATTGATCCAAACTGAAGTTTTTCTCATTGCAGAAATCTGTACGGTGGAAATAACTCTTTCTAATATGGGAATGACTCATGCAAAATAACAGTATTAATATGGGGTTGTATTACCTGTCTGCCTACTATGTCTTAACTCTTGTTTTGAAACGTATCTACAGTTTTGCTGTGTTTTCCATAACACAGGGAGGTGTACCATTTCATACACTTGCTCAAGCCCTTGCCTACATCACTGTGTTAAACTGTTACACAAATTCCTTGCTTAGCCCTGGGCCGTACTAGCCCGTTTGCCACTAGTCTTTGGCAGTGTCTTAGTAGATTTACAGAAAGTCCTAAAAATGTCTGTTTCTGATTTGGTAAGTGGATAGGCATGTCGGGCTCTGTATCATCTTGCCCTCCTACTGCTTTCTTCAGGGTGGTAATAAGAGCACTTGCAACTCCACTGTTTCTGTATGCCTTGGTGAGGGGGATCTCTGAAGGGGGCTTGTCTATGGAGCTATGCAGTATTACATCCATGCTAAGTAGCACCCTGTCTGTGTAGTCAAAAGTCCTTTTTTCACCTGGTTGGAAGTACCCTAATACAAGTGTCAGTTTAAAATAACAGCCAGCCCCTCCAGTGGGCTTGGAATGAGTAAACAGTTCGAGCTGGATTGCTCTGCTACTGTTGATTATTAAATAATAATGGTACAGTGGTATGCATACGGAGTAGGTTGGTGTCTAAAATTAGCTCATTTTAATTATAGTGCTACAGTTGCTAATTAAAATGCTGAGGGGTTTTGGCCTGGAAGTTTACAGTTCCTTAAATGTTTTCATTGTAGGCACTTCATGAATTTGGATACATATTCTGTAACAAAAATCTTACTTAAGTAGCCACAGTTTGCAAGTTTTGTGGAAACTTTCTGCTGCTTTTATGACCTGTTTATTTTCCAAGTAACTGAATGCAGATCTTTATCACTTAAATTCTTAGTGTAAAGTTGCTCTGAATATTGCAGGGTTTCCTTGAGTCTATTTTGGAGCTTTTCATCAACTCCAGAGAACATAGGTCAGTTGTGGTAATGTGTTGGGTAAAATCACTGTGGCTGAGGGACATGGAGGTCAGTCAGAGGCTGCTTTCCTCCTTGTCCGTTCTCTGAAGTACCCCCTTTGCTGAGAGAAAATCCTGTGCCTCTTCTGTCCTTCACCTCCACCCCTATTTTAGAAAGGCTAGGAGGCCTTGCAGAGAGACTTACCTCCTCTTGATGGAGGCTTGTAAACCTTCCCTGTTCTGTTACTGGGTAGGAGAGCTGTGAGCAGGGGGAGTGATAGCAGTAGCTCAGGGTGTGCTGGGGAGCACTATATAGTTCTGCCCATTCCTGGGAACAGCAGGGCAGGCAGGAAGAATGCCTCCCTGCTAGCTGTGCTGGAGCCAGTGTTGCTTTACAGCCTTAACAAAGAGCTGGTACAGTTGAGTGAGGCTTCCTTCTGTCTAGACAGGTTAAAAGCCTTGTCTGTCTCTGGTAGGTGGGCTGGAGGTTCCTTATCACAAGTCTAATGAACACAGTCTATATGAAAGTTGTTTTTCTTACATTTTCCTGCAGAGGGAATAAGTTCTTATTTATAAATAGCTTTGGAACTTTCTGCATGATGTTTCATTTTTCCAGTAAGAGCTTACTCATTTGCAGCGATGTTTGTGAAAATAGAAGTGCACATCTTGAAACTAAACCTGGTCCTGAAACTATCATTAGTAAACCTTTACTTGTTACTTTTTATGCAGTCTGATCAGATGGTTGATCAACTTAATGTAGTCTCCAGCTTTGTACCTCAACACAGTTTGTTTAAATAAGTGCGCATCTATGTAAAACACCCTTTAAACTCTTTTTTCCTTTGTACCAAGCATTTGGGTCCAGCCGAACTTTCTAGAGAGAAATAAAATAGATTGAACTTGGTTGTGAAGGTATATGCAATATGTCAATGTCTTTTTGTTGTTGTTCTTTCAGGAGCTGCTGGACAAATATTTAATAGCTAATGCAACTAATCCAGAGAGCAAGGTATTCTACCTGAAGATGAAGGGGGACTACTTCCGATACCTTGCTGAAGTTGCCTGTGGTGATGACAGGAAACGTAAGTACCTCGTGGTCTTTGGGTCTTTAAAAGCTGATCAATGTCAGTTTTGGTCCATGGGTGAAGGAACAGTAAATGAAGTCCATATGCCAATATCGTATTATGAATTCACTTGAGTTAGCTGAGTGGGAATGACTATGTTTGAGTTGGAAATCTTCAGTGTTTATACAGACAGAGAGTTAAATTCTGAATAGACTTTGAGCACAGTATGTCAGGGAGTTTTAGGTGGTGTTCCTGTCTTCCACCCTAAATTTCTGGATAGTTGTTCCATAATACTTGTTCAGAGCTTCTGGAAAATAATTTTGGTGAAGGTCTGCTAACATACTTGATTTTGTTTGTATTTCTTTACTAAAATAAAGTTGGTGAGGAAGAGTAAACAGAGCTCTGCAGCATTTTTAACTCCTTGATGCAGTCCTGTTAATCTGTTAATACTTTCAGTGTGAGGCAGACTTCATTGTAGTCACCTTAGTCTATAAAGAAGCGACAAAATTACTAGGTCAGTACACTACCCAAAGAAGTGTGAGCTGCACTCTGAAATGGTTGATGTTCACAGGGTAACACTGTGCCTGTAATTTTAGTTTGCTCTTTTGGATCCAGCAGAAAAGGCCTGGAAAACTTCACAGCTGGTACTGTCACTTCATTCTGGGCATCCTGAGAATGCAGAACATTCCTAGAAGTTAGAACATGTGCATAGGTGGTTCTGAGTACCTCAGGAAGCTCTTCTGGAAAGGATTTTAACTCTGTTCAGAGGATGTATTAGAACTGTCTTGCAAGGTGCCCAGATGCTGTTGTGATTTTAAACTCTTAGTATGGCATAAGCTAGTGATATGTTTCTACATAACTAAACTAAAATTAGCCCTGGAGTGATGGCATGACACAAAGTATATGGTCTGTTAGAGCAGGATGAGGCTGAAGTGCCTGTCCCTTTGGGCTGGTCATGGTTGGCATCTGGCAGTGCTGGCTGATTTAAACCAATTGAATTGCAAAGTGGGAGGACAGGGCTGATTGTCACTTCAATAAAGGCTTTGTTAACCGCCTTGTATTTTAGGAGCAGTTAAGTTGAGAGATGAAAATATACAAAATGGAATAAAAATCTTTGCATTTACAAGCTGCATTCAGAAATTCTTAACCCTTTGCCTGATTCGAATGACTGCAGCAGGTCCAACTGGAGCAGAGACATCTTTAGCTTTCACAAAGATAATCTGATTCATGCTTTGTCTCTAGCAGCAGTTACAAATCTATGGACTTGCCTGAGCAGAGAAATCCCAGCTTATCTTGGCTAAAAAGACTGTTTAAAGTGATACACATGCCGACAGGGGTACTTACTGTGGAAGAAGCACTGATTGATAACCTTATTATCAGATCTTGGTGTTTTGCTGGGAAGTTAGAGCTTATGTGTGTTACTGTGCATACATTCTGTGCTTGACTTCTCGCAAGCGTCTAGGAGTTTCATTTGAAGCTTTTCTGATGTTCTGCTTCTAAGCATCTGTTTATTTTCTCAGCTTGAAGCCTCAGGTGTAAGGGGTGGGGCCAGTTCCACACATGCTGTGCCTCACCTAAAAAATCTTGTGAAGCCAAGCCATCAAATCAATCAATCAATCAATTTTCTCAGCTTGAAATATATTTTGAGTACTTATAAGCTGATTTACTTTGTTTGTTAGTTCTTTTGCCTTTTTTTCCACCTGTTCTCAACAAATTAATAGTCCAGTAGCACTCATTGCAGCATGAATCTGAAAAACCCAAGTCTATGTTTTGACTCCTTTAAATATTTAACAGGTTTTACTTACCAGACTGTTTTCTACAGCACTTTCTAGAGCAGTTATGGTATTATCTCCCTCAGAGAGCTGTATTCTGAGTTCTGACAATGGACTTCCTTTTCCTGCAGTCTCCTTCCATTCTGCAGGCATGGTTAGGGACCTCTGGTTGTCTATTAGAAGAGAACTCAAAAGAGTAGCGCTCTTGAAGTACTCACTCTAGCCTGGTAACCTTTTTTTTTTTTTTTTGTGTGGTATTTCTCCCAATTATTTTGGGCACAACCTTGTTATTTTTTTATCTTGACCTGTCTACACCCAGGTTTTGGAGGCAGACTTTCAGATTTTCAGGAACATGCAGTACGTGCCTTCCACACTTCTACAAGAAGGAGTAAGGCCCTGCAGAGAGTAGCCACTTTTAATGTGCACAACCATCTTACACAAGCACATCCATCCTATGCAAAGAATGAAGCAGATGTTCTGTAGAAGAAGTGATGTGCTTTTGGGTTGGGTTTTATTTTGATGCCTAAAGTATCAAAAGCCATTGAGGTGATACAGTCATCTTGGATGTCTGTATTGACTAACTTTTGTTTGTTTACCTGCCTCTTGAATACCTTTTCTCTGTAGTAGCTTAATTTGCTCCCTGTGTTCTGTCAGTGTGGCATCTATACTTAAAATGGATTTACAATCATTACCTTGATTAAAGTAAGTAAGTGCAGTGTTTCACTAAGAGCAGGCTTATGGAGGACTGTTCAGTCTCTTACTAATGGAGTACTTTAAATATCTTTAAAAAAACCCAACCAATTCCCCCCCCCCCAACAAGCAAACAAACAAATAAATGAAGCCCTTAATGTTTCTCATTCTTTTAACAGAAACAATAGAAAACTCACAGGGAGCTTATCAGGAGGCATTTGATATCAGCAAGAAGGAGATGCAGCCAACACATCCGATTCGCTTGGGTCTAGCTCTTAACTTCTCTGTATTTTATTATGAGATTCTCAACAATCCTGAGCTTGCCTGCACACTGGCAAAGACAGTAAGTGACTTTTTCTTCTGTATGCCTGCAGGGACAGTAGAAGAGAGTTTATACCTAGAATAATATGAACTATTATTTCCTAGAGTTTATGCAAGAAATGATCCTATTTAACGTATCTGTTTTCCAAGCTCACATTGTTAGTGGGATTAAAGGGATAAAAGCAGGTATTTACAATATTACTTACATTTTCAGCAACACAGCAAGCTTTTATTATGGCTTTATTATTATGCTTCTGTTTCAAATACAGCAATGCAGATCATTAACTTCTAATGTTCCTTTTTTTACTGATAGGTTTAGCTTCTGTTTGCTTAATGATCAGTTAGTAGACTAAAGATGGTTTTGTCATTCTAGGCATTTGATGAGGCTATTGCAGAACTTGATACACTGAACGAAGACTCATACAAAGACAGTACTCTCATCATGCAGTTGCTTAGAGACAACCTAACAGTAAGTTGCCTTTTTATGTGCTGTTTCTGTAACTATGTATTTGCTTATTTAGACTGAATTTGTGATGAAACACAGTCCTTATTCCACTAAAGGGCAAAACATAACACTGAGTTGGGCTATTTACCTTACTGTCCCTTCTCATAACTCAGTTTGAATGTAGTTTAAGATGATGTCACCATCTTCATGCTGTGTAATCTACATTGGAAAGCACACGTTCTTCATTCTTTGTTGACCTTTTCAGTGGAGGGGAGAAGGTATATTCAGCGTGTACAAGGTAACGGATGAGAAGTCAAAATACAGTATTCTGTGGTCTGTCAGGGATTCTTGCTCAGACTTCCCTGTTGTACCTCCAGTGCAACTTGCTTTATTTTCTTTCCCAGTTTTCATTTAAAAGAAAAGATACAGAATTTCAGTGTGTTAAGAATAAAAGCAGTTGATGCTTCAGTATGTTTTATAATGACTACCCGCTTAAGTGCCTATTGGAACCACTACATTCTATTAAAATACGTAACTAAGGCAACTTTTTAGGGAATATCCTCAGGATATCCACTTCATTTAAAATTCCAGCAACGTCTGTTATTTTGCAATACTCCTTTGGTAGGAATGTCTTTTATTAGCACTATAAAATGCTTAGCTTCAGTAACCAAAATGGTAATCTTCACTTTTAGGATTCAGACCACTGCTTTTGAAATTGATATTACTCATGAAGTGAGTGTTCAGACTTGTTGAGTGGTGTGGGATCGATGACCTAGCTCACTATTAAGCACAAAGTCTGGACCTGTTCAGAACACTACTCTGCCTCCAGTACCTGGGGTGCATAGCTAGGTTGTGCCCTCGGCACAGGAACTATTTCAAATTGCCCCTCTTTGAGCACACACTGTAAGCCGGGGTTGTACAGCTCCAGTGCACTGGTACTTTGTAGACTGTACTTTGAAGTCCAATACATTACTGTTTCTGACAGTCAGTAGTCATCCCTTTTTGGAATTAAAGCTATGCTTTGGAAAGCTGACACTGTTTTTCTTTTCCTTTTAGTTATGGACATCAGACAGTGCAGGAGAAGAATGTGATGCTGCAGAAGGTGCAGAAAACTAAACTGCACGTGGGGCATCATTCTCCCTTTCCTTCTCAAGAAACCTTTTTACACGTCTCCATTCCTTATAGCTCCACTTGGATTTCCTATAGCAAAGAAAACCCATCCATGTGTATGGAAATCAATTTATAGTCTTTTCACACTGCAGCTTTGGGAAAACTCCATTCCTTGATTTGTGTTTGTCCTGGCCTTCCTGGTGTGCGGTTACTGCTGTAGAAAAGTATTAATAGCTTCATTTCATATAAACATAAGTAACTTCCAAACACTTATGTAGCGGACTAAAGTGTACCTGGTATTTAAAAACAAATCTGAACCAGTTCCTGCCAGTTGACTGTGTTTTGTATTACAGTAAGATATGAAAATGTAGTTAATTGCAACTAAAGAGTGTTCCACATAGCTTTTAATTCTCCACATTCCCTTCTTATTCTGCAGGGTTTCCTTTCCATAATTGACTTTCACATGCTACTGTGCATTATTTTCAGTAGGAATATGGAAGTACTGGGCCAGATCAAGCTGAGCATTTCTAGTTTGGGAAAAACCAAATTGAGTTGCTTCTTGTATCATGTAGTACAGAAGCGTGTGTGTTCGAAAACAGGGGCTTCTCTTAATCTTCAGTTGCTGCTGTTTAAGTCAATATCCCTTCCCAATGAAAGTTCACTTACACTCCTGCCTTTGTAGTTCTGGTATTCACTTTAGTATGATGTATTAGAAGCAGCATGTTACTGCCAGAGTACAGGCAGTGCTTTTTGGCAGACTAAAGTGCATGTCATTTCTTAATACACTGGAATGGGAAAACCAATTGAAGTTCACATGTCCAAGTCTAAAATTTAGTACTTTTCCATGCAGGTTTGTGCACATGTGAGAAGGTGTCAAGTTTGTCCAGTGATTGTTACTTAGAGAGTTTGGACCACTATTGTGTGTTGCTAATCATTGATTGTAGTCCCAAAAAAGCCTTGTGAAAATGTTATGCCCTCTGTAACAGCAAAGTAACATTAAATAAAATTACATTTTATAAACCACTTACTGTTGACTTGTAACAATTCCATGTAATCACCCAAGGGCTAAACTGAAATGTAGGTATCTTCTGCTAGAAGTGTCTTATTCAAATTTAATGCATACTTTTTAAAAGTCTGCTCTTAAAAGAGCTCGTTTTCTGAAAATATCCTGGATAATAGTTAACCTGACATGTGGACTTCCTGGTAACTAAATCTGCTGGAGTTAATGGCTTCACCTTATTAATGACCTAAGAAAACACAGCCAAATCCTTTATATGCTTCCATGGCTTGCAAATCTTCTCATCTAAATTATGTACTTTTTGTAAACCCTTGGAATTCTCTGATAGTTCTTCCTGTTGTTTTGTTTTGGGGTTTTTTTATTGATGGTCATCATTATTATTACAGTATTCCAGCTACACCTGTAGTAATGCAAGGGAGTTTGTCCTGCTCTAGAAAGCTAGTTTGTGTACTGCCATGTCATAATCTGCTTTCTGTTGTTACTAGGATGTGTTTAGTATTACTGTTTCCCCCCAGGTTTTGGAGCTTTTTGTAATAATACTTTGCTTCTTTTATTTCTTGTTTCTCCTTTGTCCCCTAGATTACTGCAGAGTTTTTTCCTAAACCTCTACCTCTTGTTTTCCCATGTTGGTGGGTTTTTGAAAATATTTAACTCCTGTGAGTGTCCTGGCTAGACAGGATATGGTGTTACAAAAAGGGACATACGACTAGTCCTTGCAGGCTTCCAATGGTACATCTTCCACCTTCCATGTTTTTGTTCATTCTTTGAGTGTGCACAATGAGTGTTCCTACAATAAAACTGTTTGGGTTATGTGCTTCAATTGACATGCATTGCTTTAAAAAACAATTGTATCAAATCCATTTTCTTCATGCAGTCACTTTGAATTGCTGTCGAAGTATTGTGTGTCAGGATTCTCTACATAAACTCATATGCTTCTTAATCAGTGTTTTGGTTTCATAATTTCTTCCCCTCCCCCATGCATTTGTTACTGATCCTTTATTTGTTTCATAAAGGTGTTCAGCTCTTAAGTGCTCTCATTCTCTAGTGAAGACATTTTGGTACTGACGTGTTAGCAGTCAGCTGTATCTGCTCATTTAGGAGCTGTTTGCTTTGCTGTCTTCTGGAATGCTGTCTTTGCTCACACTACATTGTCAGCTAATGCTGTTCTCTTGTTCCCTTCCTTTTGCAGCTTGTCAGGAGAGAGCTGCCAGTTTTCTGTACCTGAACAGTATCTGGGCCTTATATCTACAGTGTAGCTTGATTTATTAACTGCTCTTTCTAATGGCTGTCAAGCTGGGCAAATTCTAGCGGTCTCCTGTTCATGGTGTGTGCATTTTGCATAAAAGAAAGTCCTGAAACTGCAACATCAGCTCTTGAACTTCAATAATAATGAATGCACCATCACCTTTCCTCATGCTGTTACTTCCAGAATTAGGGCAACTATATGTTTTGGAGGGGTGGGGGGGGAGAATGAAAGAGGAATAGGATGATGGTACAAAAAAGGAGTAGACTGTAATTTTCTAAATGCTTTTGCCTAGTGCCCCCCTCCCAGGTAAATGCGTTTACTAGTACAACACCCAGGCTGATAAGGCACACTCATACAGTAACAGGGTTTCCAGCTCCTGGAGATAATTTACACCTAGTTGAATGCTGCTCCACCTTGTGTAAGAGTACCTGCCCCAGGGCTGAGGAAACACTGGGCAGACCAACACCGCTTACCCTTTTCAAGCCTGATGCACAACTGACAACGCCATCTAAGCCACTTTGTAAACCAATGATGTCTGGTTATGTTAAAAGATTAGATTTTCGTATGCTGAACATGGTTCTATACAGTAAATCCCATGGGACAGAGTTACTGTCTTACCCTCTACAACAAACTTCACAGTACTGTGTTGATAATTTCAACTTCTTAGTATTTTCAGAATATTAGAAGAGAGTTCTCACTCTTCTGCTGGATGGGTGATGGTATTAGAGATGGTGCTTCATGCTAAGCCACAGTGTTTTGAAGTGTTTGTGTTATAACTCAGCTGAGCAGGAAGCATGGAGTTCTGTAATTTTTCAGGGTCTTTGTTGAAATGAGTAATGTCAACAAACACAGGGTTTTCTTTTCCTCCTCTCAGTCTAGTTGCAGCATTCTCTTTGTGGTGGCAGGCTCCTTGTTCTACCAGGAGAAAAATTGCTTTATAATTCTGTGAAACAACACTTGCTACTTGGCACCTGACTTTTTTGTGCAGTACAAAGCAGTGTAGGAAGGCCACAGTAAGTCTGGGGTTG